TGGGGGGGGGGGGGGGGGGGGGGGGCGGCGGTTCCGTCGGCAAGATAGCCATTCACTGATTTCACAGCTCGTCCATTTGTTTCGATGAGAAATTGGTATTAGCATATGCCAGGGAGTCAAATCTACCATCAACTAGCTTGTATGCAATCCTCGAAAGAAGAATCCATCAGGAACTTTATCAGCAGGAGGTACTGTTGAAAGGTGCTACCGCTAGCTATTTCCACCTGTTGCTTCTAACTAGCTGCACATAGGGAATTTTTTTTCAACTATGCAGATCATCTACAAAGTTCAAAGCCAAACTTAAACTGAAACCTGAGGCAATGAGTCGAAAGAAGTTTTTTTCTTTAAACAAGTAAAGTTATAACTTCGTTGTTTTGGATGAGCGGTGTTTCCAGGAACGGACGATATATTACACTGATTTTGGATGATCTCTCGATAAATTCAGTGAGTCCAGGTCCTTCGGTTGAACTGAATGTTTATGATTCGCTTTATATCGGTAAGATTTGACGTTCTATTTATATAATGAACAATTTCCTGCTTCTGAAATCCCATAAAATTGAAAAACTTATACATCAATACTTTTTTAGCTTAATTGTGTTTGTTTTTTTTGACTACATATAGCACAAAGAATATTTTTACAATTGTATACATACACATTAAAACTACGAAATTTTTCCGGTCCACTAAAGCGGAACAAAAAAATTGACTTACTAATAATCGAGATATGTATACGTGCTTACATGTTTACATGGATTGTGGCAGTACTATATCACAAGTACAATTCATCTGTGTTTACATGTAATGAGTGTGGACATCCAGCTCTGTTACATGTAATATGCCCCAAGCGTACATGCAACCTGAGCAGCCACAACAACTGGTTATTGTGGTGCCACTTGCATTTCGTGTAAATTACTTGTACCGCCGTAAACGGAGGCCTTTCTCGAATACTGTTTTGGACTGGGAGGGAATCGAACCACTCCTCTTCCCATCCGGACACAACGTTTTGCCACTGCACCACCGGTCCTTGTGTTTCAGGTTCAGCCTGCCAGTACACCTACTGCGTGTCTGTCTTTCAAAACAAGACATACCTTTTTTTCCTCTTCTTTGTAGTAGTTTCTTGGCTGGTTTTTTGCGGGCTTTCCGTGAGATACATTAACAGTCATTGCGTGTGCACGCCTACATCCCTTACAGACTAGTTTTGGCGTAAAAAAAAGAAATGCACTAGAATAAGTAAATTAAAAAAGCAATTTTTTATGATCGGTTCGCAGCTCTTCTGCGCGCAGTCTTCGGCTGGAAAAATAACTACATAAGAATTGAAAATTTAACTTTTCTAATTTTAACTTTCCACAAAAAAGCCAAATCTATCTTAAAATTTGCAGGCGGTTTACCGAAGACGAGTGCAACGCTAGTAGGTTTCACAGGTTGCCTGCGGGATATACGAATTGGCTACGAACTGATCGAATCTCTCGGAAACACAACGGAAGCAGTTAACATTAACGAATGTTTTTAAAATCGAATGTTGAATGCAGTGACATGTCAAAGCCAGGAAAGAAATACGAAGAAGTATGCTGAAGTCATCAGAATGCCTCCATTTTAAGTTATTTTGGAAACAAGATTTACCGCAATTTGGGCTCTCACAACTGATTCTGGCACTTTTTTAATGGAAATAGGAACATTTAGGCAGATTTTGTATCGGCCAAAAAATTTCAATGAAACTGTTCCTTCCAACCTCATGATGCTGATATTATCTGAATACGTCACTCGTCTTCGATGGATGATCTCTTTTTGTGATTTTTCACTACAAATGAATTTTGTAGGTTTTTAGTGATTTCTGGTGAAATAAATGGCGTTCTTAGTGTTGATACTACTGAGTTCTTATGTTTTTGTGAAAGGAATGGCTCATATACATTGAAAAAGCAATGGCTTTTAATTGAACACATGCAGTTCAGGATGTGAAGGTCTGAAATAGCTACACACACTGTCTGGGAGCATCCTAGTATCATCACTAACAACGGGATCTCTATGTGCGGGTGGTATTTATCTTCTTGAATGTACTACGGCCCAAACGCTATTTCTAGTGCTGAAAACGAGCCAAACGCCACGTTCAAGAAACGTAAGCTCACGCCTGAGGTCAGATGTGGTCAATTTACTCCACTAGGCCGAATTTTGCTTTTCTCTGATCAAGTTTCGTTCTTTGCTGTAAAATTTAGATGCTCAACAAATTACTCTCTCCAACCAGTTCGCCAGTCCTCCTCCAATTCATTAATTTCGAATAATTTGGCCTCAGTTGACACGTATTAAGTAGCGGCGCCCACCAGAACAGCCAGTGCGACCATGCGTTTTGTGCACCACTGCTTTGCACTTTGCTCTGTGCAAAAATAGTTGGAGTGTTGGAAAATAGTAAAAAATTCCACGCGTCAGTACGTGAAAGCTGAATTTGAAACCTCGAAGGATGAATAACCTCCCAAAATTTCAATTTCCTAATTTCCTGGCTTTCGAATGATCTTTGAGACAAAACCTTCACGTGGTCGAACGTGAGACCTCAGCACACTCGGGAACTGAATTCAAAATTGTGAAGCCTCTGCTTAGGCAGGAAACACTCTCTTGAAATTCTCAACCCCCTAGCTCTCGTGGCTCCCGAGATAATGATTTTTCTCGCCAAAACCTCTACGGCAACGCTGGAAATTTGCGAGGCTGTGTCGGCAGGGGGATGCCACGCTACAGTTTCAGCTTTCTAGTTTTTGCAGTTCACGAGATAATAACTCTCCTACCAAGACTTTCACGGAGTCGTACGTGCCATCCAGGGGTGCGTAAAGGTTGAATTCAAATTTACGAGAGTCGTACGCTAATAGGGGACACCGCCTTAAAACTTCAGATTCCCAACTTTTGTTGTACTCGAGATAATTTTCAGGGGCCGTGATAACGAAGCGCGCGGAAACACTGAATTTAAATTTGCAGGGACGTACGTGGACATGAGGTCATTACCCTAAAATTCAGCTTCCTAGATTCCGTGGTTCCCGAGATAATAATTTGCCCGCCAAAATTTTCACAAGACCACAAATGATACCCGAAAGCGTGAGAAAGTTGCCAAGTTGCGGACACACATAAACAGACAACCCCGTGACAACATGCGTTTTGTGCAACTCCTGTACAGCACACAACGCATAATAAAAGGTTACACAGTGAGCTCTTGAAACAAAACATCCCGCAGAAAAGCCAGGATCTGGTGAGCGCGGAAGAAGTTTAGAGAGGAGGGAAGGGCAGGATGTCTTTATAGGTACCAAGCTAAAGGTATGTCGTGCGTTTTTGGGCAAAACATCCCTATGCATCCGGTATTATGTCCATTTTGAAAGTTATCTAATGCTTACAAATCTTTCAAATTGAACAAACGCACCTGAAAAGTCAAACAAACCTTTGCCAGGAAATACTTCAATAATTTGCCTTATCTGTGGGTACGTATTTACTAAATAATTATTAGTTAATACTAAGCTACTTAAAGGACTTAAGCGGAATTATAAACGCTATCGAAGGAGCAGAAGTAGCTCGTCTGTAACGGGATGCTCCATGTTTCGTTAATTGACGCAAAACCAAGGTTGTTCGGGAATCGACAAAATTCTCCTGATATTACTTGAAGTCATGAACCCGTCAGTCATTATTACGTGTATATACTGCCTCTACAAGACTTTTTCCC